CTATTTTTATAAATATTCTATTTATAAAGTGGTTTACTAGAGATATCATTTAATGTTAGTTCAGTTCATAGTGGTAACCAGAGCAATAGTGTGGGAGGGGGGCAAAGAGGCAATTGCCCTGGAGCCAGAAGTCTGTTGATGGGCCTAGCACTGGGATATTCCAAAGCTCGGCCCGGCATGGCCAGGTAGTTAGGGCACTCGACTCGCAATCTGAGGGTCGCGGGTTCGAATCCCCGTCCCACCAAACATACTCGCCGTGGAGGCGTTATAATGTGACGGTCAATCCCACTATTCATTGGTAAAAGAGTAGCCCAAGAGTTGGCACTGGGTGGTGATGACTAGCTGCCTTCCCTCTAGTCTTACACTGCTAAATTAGGGACGGCTAGCGCAGATAGCCCTCGTGTAGCTTTGCGCGAAATTCAAAACAAACAAAACAAACCAAAGCTCACTAGAGCTAAACTAGCTACTGCTTTTTGGTGGATTCATGAAGAAATTGCCACCTAAATTTCTTTTATGAAAAATCAGCAGAAGTTAACAAATAGAATGAAACGGGGGGGGGGGGCCAATGATATTACTGACCCCGGGGCCTGGGCTGGCTCTCGACGCCCCTGGTGGTGACTGCAAGGCCGCCTATATCGGGAAAACTAAACATTTTACCGTTCGCATCCAGGAGCACATGAGAGTGTCACTGAAGTCAGGTAACATCTTTTTAAGTCCACCCAGTTCGGTGATCCGGAATCACAGTCATGAAACTGAACATCCGATAACTCACTCAAGATTCGCCATCTTTGTAATGGTAATTCCAACCTTGAACTGTTAATCAAAGAAAACCTATCCATAAAACAAATGTCCCCTGTTTTGAGTATAACACAGTCCCCCTACAAACTTAATTTGTTTTAAAGCAACTTTTACAATAAAATTAATTTCTTATAAATAATTTTATAAATAGAATGTTTATAAAAAATATATAATAATAATAAAAGTTTTTAATGTTATTTCTTCGCTTCAATAGATATTATATGTATATTGCAGATTTCTAAACATAGCTTACCAGTTTTGGATTATCCTGTAACATTATCCCATAAACTTATGCATCCCTTGCAAAAGTCGAAGGCTTTTTGGATAGGAGATTTTTGGAATCTTTTTTCATCAAAAAACAAAAGCTAAAAGTGGATATTATTCCTGTTCTGAGAGTTGTCCTGGGTGCAAATCGGGGGGACACAGTTCACGCAGTGATGTCACTGAATACTTTCTTCGCTTTCAACTGTGGATCCGTTATAAAAGTAACAGTCAATTCTCTTATTGGGTTCAAAGCAGGGCAAAGCCCTTGTGACAGTGGTTGATGGTGATTGGCTCTTTCCTTCTTGTCAGTAGTTGATAGTTAGAGACAGCTATACCTAAACCCTAGGGGTCTCTGACCTAGCAGTGTAGTTCATGTGTGCATATTGTGATTAATGTTCAGCTCGAAAAGAAAAATATTAAATATATCTTTAAAAGAGTCACTTGCTTTTACTTGTTTATTTCTCCTTCTAATTATTATTTCATCCACATTATCTTTGCTCTCCTGTATATTTTTAAAAATATCTTACATGTATAAGTTTATTTAATATTGTTTCACAACAAGGGCCAAGTTATTCATACTAACATATTAGAGAGATGTTTCTTATTCTATGCTGTTCTTACTTCACTAACAAGCTCGTGGTCTTCAACAGCCATATCTCAAACTATACTCTAATGTGTTAACATTTATCGCCTATGTTATAAGCCTAGATTAATATTATATTCCTTACATGGTTTAAAACCAGATTTGTTCCATGATTTGTTGTTTGTTCACCTGCATTTGCAACTTAACTGTTCATTAGTCTTTGTCATTGTGAGTAGAGAAAATGGCTAAAACGTAGAGTCAATAAAATAACTCATGATACATCTGTTATAAGTCATTATGTTTATGCAGAATAATACATCGAATATGATATTTACAAATTTAATAACAATAACAATAAGAGCATTTTAGTTAATTATTATTGTCACAAGACATTACTATTACGTAAGTTATATATTTAGCTCTACTTTATTTAATTTTTTTAGGGTTTTTCAAGAAGAAGAAGAAGAGTGTAGAGTAATGTTATTTCAACCACTCTATGTCTATTGCCAATGACGCGTTTCGCTCAATACAGAAACCATCAGGTCAACCGGAAGAAAACACTAGTTTGGTTAGAACATTATTTAGATAGGACACTTATTACAACAACAATTGTTATGGTGTGAAAACCTTTTCTAAGCTAGTGAAGCGTGATTGTAATTAACTATACTTCTAATAAGACATTATTAGGCCTATTATACTTTTTAACACCACATTCTTTATTCAGTCCCATATGGTTTTTCAAGAAGAAGAAAAAGTGTATAACAGTATTTCAAACACAATTTGTCCATTATATCCATTGTTGACGACGCATTTTCTTCAATACAGAGTTCATCAGGAAATAGAACACAGGTGGTAGTTTATTTTAATATATTTCAAAGTTTGCTCTTTTAATGTCATTTTTGTAACAATATAATAGATCTAGTGATACAGTTACATGAAAACTTTGTTTATTTTATAAAATTTGTGAAATGTTTATTACAGAGAAATACACACGTATATATAAATATGGTCATGCAACGTTTCGACCCTCTACTTAGGTCATCGTCAAGCAAGACAAAATAACATTAACTTGGCACATTAGAGAATACAAGATTAAAATAATGTTCTAATCGCGTGAAACGAGAACAACAATAAAAGTAACCAATAGTATTATTGACTATCAAGAACTTAAAACAAATTCTTGATTTTTATGGAGTGGTCTTACATATAAGTTTGCTCTCAGCCCATCAGACGCCACGTACTGATATGATTTCGTTCGTCACATTCCTCTGAATTTGTCTTCTACTGATTTCAACTTATATATATAAACAACATTTTATATCTGTCTTTTGTTTCCCGCTAGTCGCTACCCAGGAGGTCTTTTGTTTATTAGAAGAACTCGTCAGATGAACTGAACAATAAGAGACAAAAGTTTGTTGAAGTTTCTATTTACTTATATAATGAAATATACTTTAAATTTATGGTTTTGAACGCAAAATCTGGCGAAACATTTTAAACCAATAGGCCTAATATTTATGAAAAAATCACGCTAGACTGACTAGAGAGGGTGTTGTACCGTTGTTATCTATAAACTTCAGAGACTGCTTTCTGATAAGTATACACAGTCTTCTGAAAAACGTCATATATCAACTGAAATGTAAAAAACGGGTATCATCTACGTTGGCGACGAAACCGCCCAATTATTTCTCGAAAAATCTGTGCACATATTCTCAAAACATTTAACAAGATGTACATTTGACGCGTGCCCCCTCACCCCAGTGGCTCAGCGGCAATTTTGCAGGTTTACGAGACTAAAATTAGCTATCGATACCCAGGGTGGGCAGAACACAGATAGCCCATGGTGTAGCTTTGTGCTTAACAACTACCGAACTACCAACTCATTTGACGTGAAATAAAAAACAAATTTGGCTATCATTTATTAGGTGATTAATAGTTTAATATCCTACTCTTTTTTGCATAGTTCTATTTTTTCGTGAATGGTTGAGAGATATTTTTATTTACAAACAAGCGTTGAGTTTCTATTTTTTCGTTCAAACACTTTTTTTTTTAAATAATTTTATTTAGTGCGTTGTTAAGAATTATATCTAAGATAATACTAATGTTGTTGAGAACAGTATGACATTTTGTTAATTGTTTTTTCCAAAAGAGTAACATACTTTTAAAGCGGAAGATGTTGAATGAATGCATTGAGTCGTCAATAAATTAATGTCGTTTTTCTTAGTTGAAAACATTCGGACAACTTATATATCAAGATAAAATATTTATTAAATGTTATAGTATCCATTCTTATCGATGATGCTTTTCCATCTTACTATCAGGTTGTTAATGCTCTGATTAAAGAAATCACTTGGCTTT